ATGCACCACCTCCCTCTCCCCGAGTGCCTGAAAGCCGCCCATTGTTTCCCTGGGGTGGCAGGATCCGGGGATGCCGGGATGCCGAGTGGGTGGGGGGAGCATCCCCATCCATCCTTGCCCTGCATGGGGCAGAGGGAACCCCGCGTGCCCCCCGGGAGCGGGATGGGGGATGCAGCAGGGTACAGAAGCAGGCAGACGCTTCCTCTCTCCTCTCCCCCCTAGCCGTGCAGCGGGGCCGGATCCCCCCCACCCACTCCAGCACCAGCCCCAACACCATGCCCAGCGGGGAATACTTCAACGGGCAGCCGGTGTCGGAGCTCATCTCGCAGCTGCTGCGGGCTGAGCCCTACCCTGCCGCCCGCTATGGCTCACAGTACGCGCAGCAGGGCAGCGTCATGGGCATCGACAACATCTGCGAGCTGGCTGCCCGCCTCCTCTTCAGCACGGTGGAATGGGCCCGGAACATCCCCTTCTTCCCCGAGCTGCCCGTCTCCGACCAAGTGGCACTGCTACGGCTCAGCTGGAGCGAGCTCTTCGTCCTCAACGCGGCGCAGTCGGCGTTGCCGCTGCACATGGCCCCGCTGCTGGCCGCCGCCGGCTTCCACGCCTCCCCCATGTCGGCCGACCGTGTCGTCTCCTTCATGGACCAGATCCGCATCTTTCAGGACCAGGTGGAGAAGCTCAACCGGCTCCAGGTGGACTCGGCCGAGTACAGCTGCCTCAAAGCCATCGCGCTCTTCACGCCGGGTAGGTTGGTGTCGCGACCGGGCTCTGTCCTCATCTCCGCCCCATGGAGCCGTGAGCCCCCAGGGAGCATCTGCCTCCCGTTTCCCTGGGGGTTCAGGGTCCAGAGAGCATCATGTGGCTCTCGGGGGTGGTGGTGGGGGGGGGTGGCAGAGGTTCCTTGTGTCCCAGCACTTCTCCACCATGGTTTGCAGCATCCCAGCTCATCCATCTGGGCACAGGGCTGAGCTTCCCTGAGTTGAGTGGTTAAACATTGGAACAGGCTGCCCGGGGAAGTGGTTGAGTCCCCATCCCTGGAAGTATTTAAAAGACGTGTAGATGCGGCACTTAGGGACATGGTTTAGTGGGCATGGGGGTGTTGGGTCGACGGTTGGACTTGATGATCTTAGAGGTCTTTTCCAGCCGTAATGATTCTATGATTCTGTGATTCCCCGGGGCAATAGGAACGAGACCTGCAGTAACACAAATACCCCCCTATGCACCAGGGGGGTTTGGGGAGCCCTGTCCCTCGGTCCGTCCATGCTCATCTCATGCCACAGAGATGCCTGGTCCTTCCTGGCGGGGACGGGCCTGCAGCAGCCCTTTGCAGCCAGAGCGGTGGTGCTGCAGCCAGCTGCATCCCTTAATTTGGCAAGGAGAGCAGCCAGGCAGGAGCTTGGCCAGTCGGGGAGAGGGGCGGGAGGGCTCGCTGGGGATATCGGGGGGTTCCGACCGCTGACCCGTCTCCATCCCACCCCTCTTGCAGACGCCTGCGGCCTCTCGGACCCGGCGCACGTGGAGAGCTTGCAGGAGAAGGCGCAGGTGGCCCTCACCGAGTACGTGCGCTCACAGTATCCCTCGCAGCCCCAGCGCTTCGGCCGGCTCCTGCTGCGGCTGCCGGCTCCCAGCTCTTCTTCATGAGGCTGGTGGGGAAGACACCCATCGAAACACTAATCAGGGACATGCTGCTGTCCGGGAGCACCTTCAACTGGCCCTACGGGACGGGGCAGTAGGGGACAGAGCCTCTCCCCCCGGGACACCCTGGGGACCCCCAGCAGCTGGACCCGGATTCCCTCCAGCGCCCTGAGACGGTGCTGTCCCTGGGGAGCCCCGAACTGCGCCGGTCCCCAGCCCCGCAGCTGTCTTGTAGCTCGTCCGTCCGCCGCAGCTCCCCCCAAAAGCAGCGGGGTCGCAGCTTTGTCCTCCTAAACCCGAAGGTACTGGCCGTGCCACCGCTGTCGGACACTCAACTCTTCCGTACCCCCGTGAAGCGGAGCTCCCTGGCCTCCCCCGGGGACCTTGGAGCATCCCCAGGGCTGGTCCCTTGCTCTGCCCCTGTGTCGGAGCTGGGCTGCAGCCCAGGGAGGGGGACGCCGTCCTCTGGCTGCCCCTCCAAATCTGAAGTTCAGATGGCGGGAGGCTGGGACAGGAGGTGATGGGAGGTGAGACTGGCCGGGCTGGGTTGTGGGGGGGCTGCCGGCTGCGCCACAGAGCCAGCCTTTGGGGGGTCCTGATGCAGGACCCCATGCCCCCACCCAGCCCTGGCAATTGTGGAAAAAGGGTCATTTTAAAGCCCCTTTGTGCCCTGCCCAGGGGCTGCCTCTGCCTGGCCAGGCTGTATCCAGCCTCAAGGACTGAAGCGCTGAGCTCCCACCCAGCCCTGGCAATTGTGGAAAAAGGGTCATTTTAAAGCCCCTTTGTGCCCTGCCCAGGGGCTGCCTCTGCCTGGCCAGGCTGTATCCAGCCTCAAGGACTGAAGCGCTGAGCTTGGATCAGCCCCTTTTTGGGGACTGGGCTTGTCCATGCCTGGTCCCAGCCCCCTCCCTGCACTTTCCACTGAAGCATCTCTGCTGTTGGGGCA